AGAATCCTCAAACACACCTTCTGCAACCAAAAGAAACGAGGCTTATAACCGTTCCTGTTTAAGGTCACTGTTGTGGGTTAACCCTGTGGTTCGCTCGCTGTGGTGGGACGGGGGAGATAATCAAAAGGGGAAAAGGGAGAAAACTTGTGGGTTGAGATAAAGACAGTTTAATGGGTAAAGGAAAAGCTGCTTATGTAAGCAAAGCAAAACGAGGAATTAATCACTCACTGCTTCCCATTGCCATTCCCAACACACAATCTGTGTGTTGGTACATCTATTTTATCTGTCTCTATATATGATGCACAAAACCACTATCCCCTCACATCCTAATATGTGAATCTTTCACAGAATCACAGAATCTTCATGGTTGGAAAGGACCTCGGAGATCACCTGGTCCAACCACACACACAAAACACCCAACCCCACAATCTCAGCCACTAGAGCATGCCCTGAAGTGCCACCTCTACATGTTTCTTATCAAACTCCAGGGCTGGAGAGCAGCAATCTCTTCTTATTGCTCCAGAGATATCAAAACTACCCTCAGGTTAAGGTGGTGGGATGCATTTCAGCTGTGCTCAGTCCACACTGAGGGATATGATGTAGGGGAGGACTTTGTAGAGTAGGGTAGATGGTTGGACTCGATGATCCCAAGGGTCTCTTCCAACCTCAATGATTCTATGACTCTATGATTCTATGATTTCTCAGCTAACGTGTAGCATTCTGTGATCATACATGGAATATCAGTGCCACAGTGCTCCCCAAAATTTCTCCTATTTCTGCAAATTTAAACAACACGCAGCCAACGACTGATTACAGTAATTTTGTTCATCCTATTCATATCACAGCAGGTATTGTTTGTAATTATTAAGGCTGTTTGTTATTAGAAACGCATGGGTAGTGACATACAACAAAGCAAACAATTTAACTCATAATAAAATTAGCTGATCGTGGGAAGTCAATCTGCTAATTATCTCCAAACTGTGTCCAGCAGCTCTGGTTTGCATTTCTTAGACTCCTTGCTTCCCAGGGCTGCATTCTGAGGAATACACTGAATTTCCCCACAAGAGAGGTCTCCATCATGTTACACCTTTGCTCTCATACACATGTTTCCTTGACTTCAGAAATACTTTGTGACAAATAGGCATTTGATTGTGTAATTTATTACAGAGCAGGCATCAAACTAAAGAATCTGTATGGAAGGTTTTTTATGAAAATTAATACGAATGAGACTGACCCCTTCAATTTCATAACTATTGGAAAGAACCTTAGACTTCTTAGTTGTTAAATTTTCAAAACCTCTTGTGATATTTAAGTAGCGGAGCACACATTAAGGCCAATTTGAATCATGTAGATAGTAACTTGGGATGCTTTTAAAATTGTCCTCCGTTCCTGTGATTGCCAGCTGATTCATTTACTGAAATTATAGTATAAATTGAAAAAACAAACTGCCTGAGCAGTGGGACTGGTAGAACTTGGGTTTCTGTGCATCTTTGCGTAGTTGTGTTGGCAGCTGGGCATGGCACTGGCATCACTTTAGCAAGCATTTGGATGGTTGTTTAATAGCACTGCATCTGCTTTTTATATCCAGTATTAATAAGTGTTTTCATAGTTGGGTACAATCAAATTAAAGGTGGCTGTCAGGTTTTATAGAACCTGTCAGTTTGCTTATGTTTTAATTTTTGCTTTAAATCACAGAATCACAGAATCTTCCGTTTTAATTTTTGCTTTAAATGACAGAATCACAGAATCTTCGTGGTTGGAAGGGACCTTTGAGACCATTGAGTCCAACTACAAAGAAAACCTCAACAACAACAACAAAAAAACCCACCAAAAAACCCCTCACAAACAGACACAACCCAACAATCTCGGGCACTAGAGCATGCCCTGAAGTGCCACCTCTACACGGTTCTTCAATCCCTCCAGGGATGGGGACTCCACCACCTCCCTGGGCAGGCCCTTCCAGGGCCTGACCACCCTCTCAGCAAAGTCCTTCTTCCTCACATCTCATCTAAACCTCCCCTGCCCCAACTTCAGACCATTTCCTCTGCTCCTGGCATGATTCCCTTGGGAGAAGAGGCCAACCCCCACCTCTCTACACCCTCCTCTCAGGGAGTTGGAGAGGGCAAGGAGGTCTCCCCTCAGCCTCCTCTTAAATACTGGATTGTCACCCAGTTTGGGTTGGAAGGGACATTCAAAGGTTATCTTGACCAGCCCCTCTGCCATGGGCAGGGACATCTTATCTCGTCCAGCCCCCCTGCCATGGGCAGGGACATCTTTCCCTACAACTACAGGTTGCTCAGTGAAGAAGAGTGATGTTGGTGACATTTACAACCAAGGAGTTTGTGAATAACTTTTCGGCTGAGGAACGGGCAAAGCTTTGAGGTGCCTACGTCCGTGCTGGACCATAATAGGTGTACATCCTTCTAGAGAAGGAGAGGTCAGGAGGGTAGAAATAATCAAATAGGAGATGGAAAACAAGGAAAACATTTCAATAGCTGTTCAAACGTGCTGCAAAAAAAAGGGGGGGACCAAAAGTGTTGTACACAAATACTAGAAATCTAAGAAATGTGATGGAGGACCCACAATATTGGCTAAACAGACCTGGAGTTTGAACCATGGTGGCCATTCTTATCTTCTGGTCAGCCTCTATCTGCTTTCTCAAGTCAAAAGTGGTCTGGGATATAAGTGGGCTGAAATAATATTTTTATAACTTTGTTCCAAGTGCCAAATTCATAGCCAAATCCATGAGTAACCCTGATGAATAGATCTGCTGAGCACCAGGAAGACACAGGGACTGTGACCTACTGAGTACTGTGAGGCTGAGCATGGTGCACCACCACAATGTCAGCAAGTAAATAATAATTACATGCCCCATCTTAGATGCACCAGGGGTGAAAGCTCTGGAAAACACTCTGTGAGAGGGAGAAGGCAGGAAAATGGTGACAAGTGGGACCAGGGTCCCCTTGGCTGACCCCTACCACGTGGTGAGCAGGCAAATTGCTGATGCCTATGGATGTGGGGGGGTTCCTCTCTCTGAAATGAGTCTCATCAGCCATTGGAATCTTCCCCCTAGCCCTGCTCCCCCTTCAGATTACAGTATGTTTCAAAAAAAGCTAATTTACAATTTGCCATCACACCCCTGAGTCTCTCTGGTTCCCGGACCATCCTTAGGGTGGTCTCAGAGACCTCAGAGACCTCTGAGACCTCTCAAGGAATAAAGTGGGGTCACTTTTCTCTCCAGAAAGCAATGCTGTTTTTTGCAGGACCCCTGGCAGCAGAGACTTGAGAGTGGCCTCGCTAAAGTCTGCTGCCCATAAAGACCAAAAGTGGGGAAACTTTTCATGTTCAGACTAAAACCAACATACTTAATACAAACAACATAACTTTGGACTTTGTCCCCCACCTCAATTTGCATGGCATTTCCACTTTACATTAGCTTTTGGCCCCGTGGCCTCGCTAAAGTCTGCTGCCCATAAAGACCAAAAGTGGGGAAACTTTTCATGTTCAGACTAAAACCAACATACTTAATACAAACAACATAACTTTGGACTTTGTCCCCCACCTCAATTTGCATGGCATTTCCACTTTACATTAGCTTTTGGCCCCCCACCCAATGCTAAGAGTTGGGGAAGGAAGATCTGAACATCTGATTTCGGGTTGCTCCAACAAAATAGGCACAGCACCCTACAGATGGTGGGGGGACCAGAGAGACACAGGGGTGTGATGCCAAGGTCACTGCAGCAGAGAAGGGACACTTCCATCTGTCTAAATCTTTGAATATGTTGGAACATAATGGTGTACTGAGGCTAAAGGACTGGAAATGTGGGATGAAGTGCTTAAACACACAACCTCTGGGTGCCCTTGTGAGGATTATGAGCCATACCTAAAAGCCCGCTGCCACAGGATGAGGTAAATTGGCTTTTATTGAAACATACTGTAATATGGAGGGGGAGGGGGGGGCTAGGGGGAAGATTCCAATTTAACACAAGTACATTGCATTTCAGGCTCCCAAATAACTATTGATATCTGCTGTCCTGGAGCAAATCACATCTTCCTTGACAAGTCAGACAGCTGCTCTTTTTCTATCTGCCTTTTGTTATCTTTAATAGCCACGGATTGTTGTGGTACCTTGAAAAAAAAAAAAAAAAAAAAAAAGGTCTTCCCCAGCTGAGGTCTGACTGATAAGCAGATCCCACAGCTTCTTGGGGCACACATTCCCTTGTTTGATCATTGTGGAGAATTGTTTTCCCATTTGTTTAAGGTATGGGAATACCAATATCTTAAATACAGGAATACTAAAAAAAATCTAAGATAGGACTAACGAAAAATATGATTATTATTTGACCAATTTCACCAAGACTTTGAATCAAAAAGGCAAAGCCAATCTCCTTCAGGCTATCAGTTGTCCTAAGATGTGCCACAGGAAATAAATGTGGTAGGAATGGCTGGGAGAAGTCAGGTGTAACCCAGCATTAGCTGCCCAGGTGCTTCTGCTTTTTGTGTCTCTATTTGCCTGATTAATCTCTGATTAAGAACTAATTCCAGCTGCATGTCCCTAGTAACCTTTTCTATTCCTAAATGGGAAAAACCAACCCTTTTGGACCAGACTGCGGAACGTGCATCATTTTGGAGGGAGAGGCAAGACTGCCACATTTAGTATGGAGTTTTGGCAAATACGATAATGAACAGGGTCCTCTTTATACTTCCCGGTGGTGTGAGCACGTGCTAATTTTTTGTGTGCTGACAGAGCATTCAGCATCAAGATTGGCCCTTCTGGGGCCAAGCCAGGAGAAGGAATTGCTGCTCTGCTGTGTGCATTGTGTGCTCCTCCTGGCTCCCTCCTGTTCTCCTTGTGTAGCTGAGACCGAAAGAGAGGATTTTTTAAATCTTTTTTTTTTTAATCTCACATTTGTAGCTATTGGCTAGAAAGAATACTCACAGAAAGGGAAATTTAGATCCTCCACCATGACATTAACAGCCATCTTTTGTGATTTGAACAGGTCCCCAGTGGTACCCTTCCCGTGTCGGACTGCAACTGGAACGCAGTGAGTATTCTGGTTGGATACAGCCACCTAATGTATTGCTTAGTCCTCTGGCAAGTTCTCTTCCTAATGGTCTTTCTCTCCATTGGGTGAACTGTTAGCATTTTTTCATTGATTTGGTATCAATGATAAATTTATTAGCTTTTGCATTGCTAAAAGAATCGAAGGGTTTTCATAACCAGTGAGTAAAAACGTTTCAGAATACAGAATATGATCAAAGAACAACACTCACTTCCCTCACTCACTGCATTATCCATTTAATACCTGCTCACAGCCTCATCAGAAGATGGAATTGGCTGCAGAAGGCAGCCCCTTTTTTTGTGGCAGTGCCCCAGGTCCTGGTGGATGTGGCAGTGGGAGATGAGGGCTCAGCACCTGGTGGAATTTAGCACCCTCATTCCCTTAAACAGCCAACAAACATATATTGAAAGGGAGACACAACACAGAAGTTGGAAAAGAGAAAAGAAGTGCATGCAGCCGTGCCTGTTTGGATTTCCTAATATCCAACTCGCTGCCTCTATAAAAAAACCAAAAAAAGAAGCAGATATTGACATTTTATGTCTCTACCGATCTAATGGTCTAGATGACCAGAGATAGCATCGTAACAATGGCTGTGCACTGCTGCCCAGGGTCATGTCAGCCTCATGCTTTCCTTAAAACGAGAGGAGATTAACTCTCCTATAAATGCTTTAAGTTGCTAACCTGGAGAATAAGTACCAAGCCACCAAAATAAATCAGAAGAGGGGTTGGGCCCACACCGTGACCATTAGCAGGGCAGCCCACGCGTTGTGCTGAGCCTCTGAGAGGAGATGTCTGTTGCTCATGCCACCTCCTCTCCCCTTTTTGACATTACAGATGGGCCTTTTTTGAAGGATTCTGTTAACATCCAAAGCCTTGCCGTTTCCTCCATCATCACGCTGTATTTTACAGACCTGGGTCAGCAGGTCGGATGGACCACAGTGACTTACTTGATGGATGTTTCACCTCCTGCTATTAGCCCTGGTTCGTGGGTTCATCTAATGCCTCTTCTTGCCTGCAAAAACTCAGGCCAAGTGCTTCTGAAATGAGAGTGTGCTGGGTGTCACTGTGGTGGCTGCAGGTCCCCTTCCCTTCCAGCTGGTGGGCGGTGGGGTGAAGAAGCTCTCCTGACCATCCTGGAATACAGTTAAGGTAGAAGCAACCTCTGGTCCTCATGTGGTGCAGATGACCAACTTTCAAGTCCTATGAGATATTGCTTAGGGTCTTCCCCAGCTGAGGTCTGACTGATAAGCAGATCCCACAGCTTCTTGGGGCACACATTCCCTTGTTTGATCATTGTGGAGAATATTTTTCCCATTTGTTTAAGGTATGGGAATACCAATATCTTAAATACAGGAATACTAAAAAAAATCTAAGATAGGACTAACGAAAAATATGATTATTATTTGACCAATTTCACCAAGACTTTGAATCAAAAAGGCAAAGCCAATCTCCTTCAGGCTATCAGTTGTCCTAAGATGTGCCACAGGAAATAAATGTGGTAGGAATGGCTGGGAGAAGTCAGGTGTAACCCAGCATTAGCTGCCCAGGTGCTTCTGCTTTTTGTGTCTCTATTTGCCTGATTAATCTCTGATTAAGAACTAATTCCAGCTGCATGTCCCTAGTAACCTTTTCTATTCCTAAATGGGAAAAACCAACCCTTTTGGACCAGACTGCGGAACGTGCATCATTTTGGAGGGAGAGGCAAGACTGCCACATTTAGTATGGAGTTTTGGCAAATACGATAATGAACAGGGTCCTCTTTATACTTCCCGGTGGTGTGAGCACGTGCTAATTTTTTGTGTGCTGACAGAGCATTCAGCATCAAGATTGGCCCTTCTGGGGCCAAGCCAGGAGAAGGAATTGCTGCTCTGCTGTGTGCATTGTGTGCTCCTCCTGGCTCCCTCCTGTTCTCCTTGTGTAGCTGAGACCGAAAGAGAGGATTTTTTAAATCTTTTTTTTTTTAATCTCACATTTGTAGCTATTGGCTAAGAAGAATACTCACAGAAAGGGAAATTTAGATCCTCCACCATGACATTAACAGCCATCTTTTGTGATTTGAACAGGTCCCCAGTGGTACCCTTCCCGTGTCGGACTGCAACTGGAACGCAGTGAGTATTCTGGTTGGATACAGCCACCTAATGTATTGCTTAGTCCTCTGGCAAGTTCTCTTCCTAATGGTCTTTCTCTCCATTGGGTGAACTGTTAGCATTTTTTCATTGATTTGGTATCAATGATAAATTTATTAGCTTTTGCATTGCTAAAAGAATCGAAGGGTTTTCATAACCAGTGAGTAAAAACGTTTCAGAATACAGAATATGATCAAAGAACAACACTCACTTCCCTCACTCACTGCATTATCCATTTAATACCTGCTCACAGCCTCATCAGAAGATGGAATTGGCTGCAGAAGGCAGCCCCTTTTTTTGTGGCAGTGCCCCAGGTCCTGGTGGATGTGGCAGTGGGAGATGAGGGCTCAGCACCTGGTGGAATTTAGCACCCTCATTCCCTTAAACAGCCAACAAACATATATTGAAAGGGAGACACAACACAGAAGTTGGAAAAGAGAAAAGAAGTGCATGCAGCCGTGCCTGTTTGGATTTCCTAATATCCAACTCGCTGCCTCTATAAAAAAACCAAAAAAAGAAGCAGATATTGACATTTTATGTCTCTACCGATCTAATGGTCTAGATGACCAGAGATAGCATCGTAACAATGGCTGTGCACTGCTGCCCAGGGTCATGTCAGCCTCATGCTTTCCTTAAAACGAGAGGAGATTAACTCTCCTATAAATGCTTTAAGTTGCTAACCTGGAGAATAAGTACCAAGCCACCAAAATAAATCAGAAGAGGGGTTGGGCCCACACCGTGACCATTAGCAGGGCAGCCCACGCGTTGTGCTGAGCCTCTGAGAGGAGATGTCTGTTGCTCATGCCACCTCCTCTCCCCTTTTTGACATTACAGATGGGCCTTTTTTGAAGGATTCTGTTAACATCCAAAGCCTTGCCGTTTCCTCCATCATCACGCTGTATTTTACAGACCTGGGTCAGCAGGTCGGATGGACCACAGTAAGTACGTCCTTGTAGCCATCAACGTGATACATCTTCATGTGCAATGTCATTTAGCAGCAAATGACTCCAACCTCCTCAGCCTTTTCCTTCCCTTTGTCAAAATGCTGTAATGATCAGCAGTCAATGCAGAATTAAATGGAGAGTGAGCCAAGTCATCAACGTGCTAACTCTGACATCCAATTAAAGATTAGAAGGTGGGCATAACAATATTGCTCGTGGAAGAAAAAAAATACATGTTTAAAAACAGATTTAGCTTATCTAGGGTTTATATGCCTGTGCAGGGCCTGTAGCCAAGTACATTCATTTGCTGCAAGGCTCCTCAGCTATGAAAGTGGAAGGATCCTAAAAGGGGTTAAATGGATTTATGGTAATCCTGTTACTAATGCAGGAAAACTGCTAGATGGGAATGTCTTCATCTTCGTGCACCTGAAGAACTGTTCTGAGAGAGTGGTGAGGCCAAGGAGTCTGGGCCAGGATGCCCAGCCAGGCCCAGGAACCACTAAACTTTTGAATTCCTTCCTAAAACAAAAGCATTCTCCACGAGCAACGATACCTGCATTATGCTGAGGGTAGAACCACGGGCTGTTTTTACTGCTGGTCTCAGCTTGACTTGGATTACTTTCCTGTAAGCAGCTGTTGGAAGGGCAGGGTGGCAGGAGAGACATTCCACCCAAAGGCTGGGTTGTGGGGAACTGTAACCTTAGGGGCTTATCTGTGCCGGGAGGAAGAGAAAGATTCAATTCTTTCCTCAGCCGAAAAACCAGAAGACAGCAGAAGGGTTTGAAAGGGCAGAAAGTGATGGGAGATGAAGAGACCTTTCCAGCGGCGACAGAGCTGAAAGTAATCTCATTACTAGACTGACACAGTCCCCATCCCAGCAGTGAGAGATGTGAGCAAGAAGTGTAGGTTCTGAAAGCTATGGAAGCCTTGATGAGACAGAGCAATGGAAAACAAACCACCAATTGCTTGCAATTCCTTTAATGAAGCAACTGAGGTTTTGCTGTGGGCCAAGTTATTAGACTCTTATCTCAGGCAGCTCCTCCTGTGGGGAGACCACAAGGCCCACTGACAAGCCACCATCCTTCCTTGGCTGTGCCTATATAGATGGAGCTTGTGAGTGTCAGGTCACAGAGTCACAGAATGATATGAGGTTGGAAGGGACCTCTGGGGATCATCTAGTCCAACCCCCTGCCAAAGCAGGGCCACCCAGAGCAGGTCCCACAGGAACGTGTCCAGGTGGGTTTGAATGTCTCCAGAGAAGGAGACTCCACCACCTCCCTGGGCAGCCTCTGCCAGGGCTCTGCCACCCTCACAGCAAAGAAGTTCCTCCTTGTGTTTAGGTGGAACTTCTTATATTCAAGTTTGTGCCCATTCCCTCTTGTCCTGTCCCTGGGCACCACTGAAAAAAGACTGGTCCCATCCTCCTGACACCCTCCCTTGAAGTATTTCTAAGCATTGATCAGATCCCCCCTCAGCCTTCTCTTCTCCAGACTAAAAAGCCCCAAGTCCCTCAGCCTCTCCTCATAAGGGAGATGCTCCAGGCCTCTCATCATCTTTGTAGCCTCTGCTGTCCCCTCTCCAGCAGTTCCCTGTCCTTCTCTCCAGCAGGTCACTATGGACAAGGAAGCATTACTACAGGACACTTAGAATGGACATGCTATTTCCCAGCTCCTTCTCTGTTGACCAGTGCACTCAGGGTTGATGTTACTGCCAGAACTGCCCTTGACTTTGAGGAGTCAGCTTCTGGATCAGCACTGGGAGGTCACACATCCATCTCACCAGCTTAAGCTCATGTGCATTTCTCTCTCTCCAGGGAAGCAGACAGCCCCTAGCAGCACACACTCTGGGACGTTCTACCCCATGTGACCATGAGCTATGTCTCTTCTTCCCAGTTCTAACAACAAAACCCAAGACCCGACAAGCAGTTGACTTCAGTAGAGTTACAGTAGGTCACAATGTGTGACCTACTCATTTCAGCAGAGGTCTGAGGCTTTACCCCATGGATTCCCATGCTGATTAATGACCTGCTAGAACATACTAATTAATGCTAGTTGGGGTCCTGCTTCCCCACCAGCCTGTCCCACCACCTCTCAACCGTGCAATTCCCTTGCAAAGCAAAATTGTGAGTTGTAGCAAACAGTCTCCTGTTTGCTACAACTAAGTAATCTGCATGAACCTTATTTATTCTCTCCTTTCCTGGTGGTTTATGTAGCCTAAGACAGTAACATAACTAAAGCTTAATATCCCATTATAAATAGTGCAGTTATGGCTCGGCATCGATACTGCAGGCAGTGGCATTTTTTTTTTTATGATTTAATCTGTGCGTGCAGAAAGTTGTCTCCACGAGTTTCTGAATATTCATCTTACCCCATTCACTTCCATATTCTAAATTGTCTCCATTCTTAGTGGGAGAAATCTTCCTAGCCACATCATTTCAACAGTCAAGAGATTTTTTTATATTATAGCTAGTCTATATAGCAATAGAGAAAAAGTTCATACAAGCTTGTATTCTGACAATAGCAATTAAGAATGTATTTGTACACAGGATGTATAGTTTTATTGCCATTTTTACTGTGCTTAGAGCTTCCATTTCCCCATCTGCCTTGATGCTCTATCAGATTTACGCACGCAGTGAGGGATGCTTCTGAGTGAAAGGGTTGACATTTAAATAAATGAGGCACGGAGTAAAAACGATTTTTATCACATCAGCAAAATGATAGTTGAGGTGAAAAAGGGCCACATTCAGATCTGGACTCCAAAACA